GCATGTGCCCTTGACCAGAATTGAACCTGGGACCCTTCAGTCCACAGGCTGATGCTCTATCCACTGAGCCAAACCAGCCAAGGACTCCTCTCTCACCTTTAAAGGCATTCTACAATTTGACCCAACTCTATCTTCATTTCTCACTCTGACCAATATGCAAACACCACACCAGCCTGGCAGGCCTATTCACAAGCCCCACCACCATGATTTTTGGAGCTGTCTTCCTCCATCCCTTTGCTGATAACAACTCAAGCCATCACTCCAGGTCCAGCTCAGTCTCCTTCTTGAAGCTTTCTTGCCCCTCTTTCCTTTCTTTCAATCCCTTTGCACTCATAATAGACACCAACCAACGTTGAACATTCTTAGTCTCTGGAAGTTGCATTCATAATCAACACTATCCAACACTAGACGTTCTTACTCTCTCGGAAGAAAGAAGCCATTTTGAAGTGTCTTTTCAACGCCTGGATTGACCTGAAACAGTCCCAGAAAAGACTTAGTGCCTATGTCATGCTCAAAACCAGAATCATTGAGGTTGTGCCTTTGGAGGAATATTCCTATGACTCTTCTATGTAGAAAAGAGTATGTAACTGATTCTTTTACCCAAGCAGATCAAATATTCCTTCCACATAAAGGTTGCACTTCAAAGTAATTAACTGAAGGTCGATGCAAATATTCTCATTTTTAAACTTTTCGAGTACTCCTTTATAAGAATTTCTTTGAGAGCCTATGGCACATTCCTTTAATATAGTCAAAGATTATAAATTATAATTCTGTGACAGTGAACTCAGCTTTTAAGTGGCATTTAGAGCCAAGTCAGAGAATTATGTTGAGGGAAGCTGGGTAATGTCATAAATGTTTTTGAAAAAGAGGTGTGGGCAGAAGTCAGAAGCTCACTTTTCCTGTTGATTTTAAACTATGTCTGAAGGTCGTTATAAATAAATGCTGGAGCTCTGATTCCCAGTGGGAGAGCCCTGTCCCGCACTGCAGGCCTCACAGATATAATCGGCAAAAGCAAGCTTGCTGTGGGGATCTTTGTCTACCCTGTGTGCTGCTTTGTGCTGCTCCTCACTTCATGCCAACTTCCCTTCACTGATAAAGCACACAAGTAGGTGATTTACAACACCTAGGCGAGGCCTGCTAATCCCAGGGCAGCTCCGATCACTGGCAGAGTGGGTGAGAGATGACAGCGGATGCAGCGCTGGTCAGGTTTTTATTGACAAGTTTGAGGATGCAGTGACCTCTCTGTGAAGCTGAAAGATGGTAAAAGATGGTAATCAAGACCCCAGAGGCGGAATGAACATTGCTATTAAAGGGAAGCTACCTCTTCTGGGAAAAATGAGACTGAATGAATCAATCAGTCTGTGTGTGTGTTGGAGGGTAGGGCAGAAAGACGCAGATAAACTGAATACTATAGGTACCAACATTTAGACTTTTATCACTCCATCTATTCAGCACCCATTTGTCAAACTCCCATCACCGCTGGCTGCTTTGGTGTTTGATAACAAATTGAATTTTAGGTCCTACTTGGCATCCCAATCTTTCTTGAGCACTGACCAACCTTATAATCTGGTGCGTAGGTCTCACGCAGAGGGAGAACGTGCTGTATCATGTAGATGTTTCTTATCACACATGATTTCTTTTAATCCTCACAGACCGTCTGAGGTAAATATAATTGTCCTCATTTCCACAAAACGGGGAAGTGATCTTGGAGACTTTAAGGATCTTCATTGAGATCAGGCATATAGTAGGTTTTCAGTGGAATGGAACATAGTACGTGGCCAGGCCAGGCCCCCACGCCTTCTAGAAGATTCTAAATCCAAGTGTGTGAGTCTTCCTGAAAAAGCTGCTGATGTAGTCTTAGCCGAGTTATATCGTTCTGCTGAGTCATCTTCAAAATGATGACCTGCTTTGATGGACTGCCTGGGTTCAGAGCTCCTTTGAACTGGGGGCTCCTTTCAGCCTCCTGAATACGATTGGTGTGTCCAGGGAATCCTTTCTTGCTTCCTAAGCTCTGGATGAGAGAGAACAATGCAGTCACATTTTATATTCTGTCACTTTTCTCTGCTTAGTCATGCCACTAGGCACCTTGTTGTGTGAGAGGCACCATTTTCAGAATGCATGAGAATAGGCTTATTTTTCTCTACAATTTATCAAGCATTTTTACATGTAACATCTAATTTTATTTTGCTTTGGCAAAAGAGACCATGCTGAGGCCCAACATGTCCACAGCAGTGGTTAATCAAATTTACTTCTTTTAAATCAATCCTTATCTTTGTTCTAAAGCAGCAGTTTTCAACCGGTGTGCTGCAAGAATTTTTAAAACAGGCAATGCCCGACTATTTAGTCAGGGGCACCGGCCTCTTTTCCCTTAGATTGTCAAATAAAAAATGACAACACTCAACCAACAATAGCCATCTGGTGTGAATGTCCTGTCTTGAATCATAAATACATAGGTCATAGGATAGAGTTGCATCTTACTGGTCATGTTGCATATTGAGGTGGCATCTGATTAGTTAATGTTGGCACCAAAAATCCTTCTATACAAGCATAGGCACCTGCTTTTAAAATAAGTCACTTTGGAGCAAAAAGGTTAGGTAATTACCATTTTATTCTTATTTTTTGTAAATCAATCAAAATTATTCCTAATTTTTTTGCCAGCTCAACAAAAAGTATATTTTTTGGTGTGCCACAGAATTTTGGTAATTGGTTTATGTGTGCCATGAGAGGGAAAATTTGGAAATGGCTGCTCTAAAGGACAGGAATAAAAGAGAAATGCCTTTAATAACCTCCTGATAGGGCAAGCAAGGGAGTCTAAGCGTGCGGTCCTGCACCCGAGTGTCTGACGGGGAAGCCTGGGAATCTGCATTGCTTTAAAAAGCCGTCCTGTGAATCTTTTATCGACTATTTTTTGTTACGAGTGCCCAGCCAGAGTTTTAAGATGGAGGCTGCTGAACAAAACAATGCCTTCATGTCTTTCTGGCACTATTTTCCATGATCTGCAGGATACAACTCACTGGGATCCAGGTGAATATTCTGACAGGCCCCTGAAAGAGCTACTAAAACAAAAGAATTAATGTTAAGTCTACTTAGAGTGCAACTGTCCTTCTGAAGCTGCTGTGAGCTCTGATGAGCTCACTTGTAGTCTGAAAAAGGACATTAACATGGATTTTGGGGTTATTTTTATATTTATTTGTTTACTATTTATTTATTTTATTTTTTTTCCTTTTTATTGCTTAAAATATTACAAAGGGTATTACATATGTGTCTTTTTTTTTTCCGCCCTTGACAATCCCCTGGCCTCCCCTACCCCCCAGTGTCTTATGTCCATTGGTTATGCTTATATGCATGCATACAAGTCCTTCGGTTGATCTCTTACCTCCCTCCCTCCTGCCCCCCAACCCTCCCCGGCCTCCATGCTGCAGTTTGACAATCTGTTTGAGGCAGCTCTGCCTCTGTATCTATTATTGTTCAAAAGTTTATAATGGTCTCTATTATCCATGAATGAGTGAGATCATGTGGTATTTTTCCTTCATTGACTGGCTTATTTCACTTAGCATAATGCTCTCCAGTTCCATCCATGCCATTGCAAATGGTAAGAGTTCCTTCTTTTTTACAGCAGCATAGTATTCCATCGTGTAGATGTACCACAGTTTTCTAGTCCATTCATCTACTGATGGGCATTTAGGCTGTTTCCAGATCTTAGCTATGGTGAATTGTGCTGCTATGAACATATGGGTGCATATATCCTTTCTGATTGGTGTTTCTGGTTTCTTGGGATATATTCCTAGAAGTGGGATCACAGGGTCAAATGGGAGTTCCATTTTTAGTTTTTTGAGGAAACTCCATACTGTCTTCCATAGTGGCTGCACCAGTTGGCATTCCCTATTTATTTATTTAAAATAAGTTTTTACTAGTTGCAGAGAAAGGAAGGGAGAAGCGGAGAGAGATAGAAACATCAACGATGACAGAGAATCATCGATCAGCTGCCTCCTGTGGATCAAACCCGGAACCCAAGCATGTGCCCTGCCTGGCAATTAAACTCTGACCTCCTACAAGGCCACACCACCGGGCGATTCGGGGTTATTTTTAAATAGAATTTTTTTCATTCATTATCCAAAATTAACACAACTAGATTCTTCAGAAAATGGAAGCATTTAGATTTTGAAGGAAAAAGTGAAATCCTAGTCACGGAGACATTGACACACTCCATCTTTGCATACCAAGTCATCAATGATATAAAATGTTTACTCACACAAAGTCTCCTATCCCAGCAACTGCAAGTGTATCTGTAGGACAATCCCAAGTTAAAATAGGTGACATTGTACCTATCCAGCCTAAAGCAGTGAAGAGGATAGACCCTGACGTGGGCTGGGGTGTCACTGATAATGCGGGTTTTAGTTCCAGCCAGAGCTCCAGTCTTCATCCTTCCACCGTCTTCCTCATCTTCCCGCCTCTGGCATTATCCAGTGGTCTCCAGTTCCTGCTGCCTTTGTCTGCAACCTTCCCCCCACCACCCTCATCTAACTTTCTCATTCCCTCAGCTCTTAGCTTAGACACTGCACTTTCTGGAAGCCTTTTCTTATTCCCAAAGTCAGGCCCAGAATCTGCTCTCCTGTGCCATGTATCCCTCTATTTCTTCTGTCCCACTGCTGGTTTGTCTGTGTCCCTGTCTAGGTGGGAGGTGTCCTGGTGAGAGAAACATGTCTGTGGTTGTCTATCACTATATGCTCAGCAACCAGCAGAGTGCACAGCACACAGTAGGAACTTGGTAAATATTGGTTGAATGAATGAATGAGTGAATGAATGAATGACATTCTTTTCCAGTTAAGCACAGACTGAGCCTCAAACCTTTTTTGGAAAACCAGCAAGTGGCACCTCAGAACCCAGAGGAGAAATCAACAGACTTCCTTCCATGTGATCACAGTCTCGCAATAAAAGCTCCCTCACATCTGTGATTAATCAGCACACAGAGACGTCTTCTGCTTTCATAACTGAAAAACTGCTGAAACTGTTTGCTGCCATGAGTAGGCTAACTTAGATGTTGCCATGATGTGTCACAGATGGGTTACAGGTATGGCACCGGTCCCTTCAGTTCAGACTGAAAAGGCATGGGGTAGCAGGATCCCTGCCCAAGCCTGCTGGCCACACAAGCCTTAGCCTGGGACAGACGTCTAGGCTGAACAAACTTGCAAGCACTGATGGCCACAACGCTGGCAGATTGGCCTGAACTAGTAATGATTTTTGGCCATTATTGGTTCTTACCTAGATGTGTCTGGAGATGGGAAGTCAAAGGAAGAACTATATTTTCAGGCTTCTGCAGAGCTTAGCAGCAGCCCTATATCCCTGGAGTCCTGGGATTTCTCCAACTTAAAAAATGAAAAAAGGAAGGTGGGAGTGCATGCTATTAATGTTATTATAGTAGTAATAGTAGTAGTAGGGGTATAATAAGAGGTCAACCAAAGAACTTATATGCATATATGCATTATCCATGGCACAGACAATAGGGTGGTGAGGGTCTGGGGTGGGGGAGAGGGTGGGTTAGAAGAGGGGAAAAGAGGAGACATATGTAATACTTTCAGCAATAGACACTTAAAAAACAAATAAACAAAAAAACAATCATACACACACAAAATACTAATTGTAGTAAGTAGTAGGAGTAGTAGTGGCAACAGTAGTAGTAACATTTCTAAGGCAAAAATTTTAGATGGAGCCCTGGCCTGGTGGTTCAGTTGGTTGAAGTGTCCCAGTGCGGGTTCTGTTCCCAGTCAGGGCACATACCTAGGTTGTGTGTTCAATCCCCTGTCGAGCCACATAGAGGAGGCAACTGATCAATGTTTCTCTCTCTTGCTCGCTCTCCCCCTTCCTCTCTCTCTAGAGTCAATAAGAACATATCCTTGGGTGAAGATTTAAAAATTTTTAGATGGAATGAAATGACTAATCTTATATTTTTCATATGAGGACACCCTTCCCTCCACCCTAGGAGTCAGGGGTCACTAGCTGGAAGCAGTTGCAAACGAGGACTTTCCTTAAAAATCTTGGGCTCGCTGAACCGGTTTGGCTCAGTGGATAGAGCGCAGGCCTGCGGACTCAAGGGTCCCAGGTTCGATTCCGGTCAGGGGCATGTGCCTTGGTTGCGGGCACGTCCCCACTGGGGGGCGTGCAGGAGGCAGCTGGTCGATCTCTCTCATCGATGTTTCTGACTCTCTATCCCTCTCCCTTCTTCTCTGTAAAAAATCAATAAAATATATTAAAAAAAAAAAATCTTGGGCTTTATCTTAAAAATCCAGGCAGATTACTTACCACTCCATTATGTCAGTATCATCTCTTTCTCCTTACCTCCCCCCACCCCCCAAATAAAAACTATGAGTTATAAATATACTCCTGGGCATGGACCAAGTTCATCTTGGGACTTTAAGAATCCCTTGCCCCACCCTCTGACTCTAAACACCCCGGGTGCTGAGAATTCCTGTAGAGCTTCCTTACTGTCTAGGGTTCATGAATAAAAGACAAGCCACACAAGTTCCATGTTGATAGGGAAAATAGCGGGTGGGACGAAAAAACACAAACAACTGGAATGAAATGATGATATTTTTTTTGTTGTTTTTTTAGGGAATAGCAGTCAGAGTTTTCTCCGAGCTGGGAGGACAGTGTTCAGGGCATGCAGCTGGACCTCCCAGTTTCTCCCAGGATCCCAGAACCAGAACGGCTGGGAACCTTGTCCTGACAGCCTCGCAGTCTGTCAGTGGTCCGTCACTGTTTATCATACTCACATTCAGTTACACTGGGCATGTGTTCCCAGTCTAAGAGCTCTGCCCGATATGGTCTCTGACTGCAACTTGGCTGCCTCTGACGAAGGTTCGATCAGTATTTCAGCATCAGCTTAGGAGTGGACATCACTGGGGCCTTCTTAGATAATGTGAGGTGTGAGGTTTTTATGAGATGCAAGCTGCTCCCCAGGCTCCGTGTTCAGAGGGAGAGCTCTGGAAAAGGCCCTGATAGGGTTGGCACTGACCCCGACTTTCTGAGCTGGCGAATAAATAGCATATTCAGGCTGAATCTTAACTCTCTCCTGGCTGCCCCGATTCTGTGCTGACTCAGCTTTCCTGATGCCTTCCTGCAGGTGGACGAAAGATACCACCCAGAGTCTGAGGAAAGACACCAGTTCCACCTCTTTTTATTGTTTCCAGAGAACTACCCTTATTTGGACAATGAGCTCAGATTGTCATCCATGAAATAAAATGATGGGGTCATATACTCTCTCAGGTGTCTCCAGTTTGTGTTTCTGGATTTTGAAAATTTCCATTGCACTGTCTGAGAGGCAGGGATGTGTCATAAACCCATGCGGAAAAGAGAGCCCATAAAATATTTCAGGAGCTGAAGAATCCAGGGAACTAGAAGAATGTCTCAAGTCAATATCCAAAATAGACAAGACTGAAATGTCCACCCCCATCATACCAGCAAAGAACCAGACTAAAACTCCTGAGGGCTCACTCAGACAGAGTGAGGATGCCTGAAGCCAATGGTGAGAGGTAAGTGGTAAAGCAAAACAAAACAAAAGGCAGGGCCAGAGGAAAACTTTTGGAGGTGATGGACACGTTGATGGCATTGATTGTGATAATGGCTTCACACGTGTGTACTTACCTCCAAAGACATCACAGCTTCGTGTATGTTGATCATACAGCAATAAAGCACTTCAGAAATAAAAAGGTAAGTGGTCCCACCAGCTCCTCATGCTCCGCTCCCCAGAAGACCTACCACGCTCCTTGCAGCATGTTCTTTTCAGAGGAGTCACTTGTCCTGTCTCCTTTGGTGGGACCCCAGGAACTAGCTCTCCCCGGAGAATATAAAAATGCTCCCTTCTTCTGGACTCTAAAGGGCTTCGCATGGACATGCCCAGTTTGTAATAGTCCTTTCTCTGAAGCATGACCTGTGCACCTTGGGTGGGCAAGGCTGGCTTTTTGGTACATTTCATCAATAGGCAGATTTCAAAAGCTCAAAGGTTTGCTTAGAGAACACAGCGCTAAACCTTCGACACAGTTTGGGGGTGTGTGGAAGTCAGGTAGCCCCTGCAGGATATGGCGGGGCCCTGGCATGCCAGGGATGCAGGGTGGATGCCCGAGTTTTCTCCCAGTAGCTTTGCTTGGTGAGAAATGTATGGTCCCCTGCGGGAGAGGATCCCATAGTCTAGTTCTTTGCAGCCAGAACAAATAGTAACAAAGGCTGTACTCAGAATGTGAGAGCTGAAAGGGAACTCAAAGTTCACCTCAGTCAACCCCTCTTTCTGAGAATGAAGAGAACCAGGGCCCACCTGACTGAGTGCTTGGTCCCGCTCCCAAGCTAATTAATGCCAGGCCAGGTGTGCAAACCTGGCCTCCAGAAGTCAGACGAGCCCTAATCAAAACCTGGCCCGGTCTCTCCCTAGTTATGTTCCCCTCCATACTGTGCCCCATCTCCCCTGAGCCTCAGATCCCTCATCTACAAATCAGGAACGACCCCCTCCCTGGTTTTTAGGGTTCCTGCGCGTATGAAATGCATCTACTTTGCTGGGTGCCTTCTACGTTAGGAGGGCATTGTGACTATTTTCCTGCCCTTACCGCAGGTTTAGTCGAAGCGCCATGAAGTCACTGATTTCCTTGTCTCAAACGTGCTCGGGTTGCAGGCTGGTGTTGCATAACCTGCTGGCTGAGGACACGTTCCCCGGAGAGCAGTAGCCAAGTGGCCAGACATGCTGGCGCGGGTGTGGCGTTCCGTCCAGCAGAGGGCAGCAAAGCTCGGGCGCCTCCGCAGCCCGGATGCTAACCGAGCCATGTTCCCTAAGAGTGGAATGGCTTAAGGAGCTCCGTGCAGCGTGGTCTTTTCAGGGGGAGCATTTTTCCTGTCTCATTTCAGTGGGTACGCAGTGTTTCTTGCAACTGCCTGTGCCCAGATTTTTTTTTCTTTTTAGTTTTTTTTTTCCTTTCTTTGGTTCGGTTTTGTTGGAGAGGGTAATTATTACATTTATTATGCATCTACCTGCCGGTGTACCAGGGGCTGACCTAGGCACCTAATATTCAAAAGCACAGACATTCCCTATTTAGAGAGGATGACTTATTCATAGAAGTTTAGTGATGTCTAAAAAGAGAAGGCTCTTTCTAAACCAGGGATGGGACTGGGATGAAGTCCCCTTGAACAAAAACGCGTATTAAATGCATGATGTGAATTTAGGCACGGTTATAAATGCAGGGGGCCAGGAAGCAAGGATACGGCACGTCTTTTCTTCTTCTTTTTAAAAAAATAATACACAATTTTTTCCCCCTCCTCTGAGCAACTGATTTGGGAGGAGGAGGGGCTTGTTAGAACTTTGGGTGGGAATCTGCAGTCTCTAATTCCCCAGGTGAATCCTGTGTACTTTCAAGTGTAAGCAGCAAAGCCCTAGAGGCAGCCAATGGCTGCCTTCAAATATTTGGAGGGCTAATATTTGAAAGAGAGCGTGCATTTGTTTTGCTTTGCTCCAAAAGGCAGATTTGGGTTTAATTTCATGTAAGCCACAAGAGAAGGAGGTTTCCAAATCCTTAAAGAGGGGGGATTTGATGTTGGACCTTATCCCAAACCCCTGTAGCTCCCTACTAGTCACTGGGTGCCTGGAAGCTGGAGGAACCTCGCTAAAGTACTTCTCCCTCATCCTCATTATCTATAAAATGGGGATGTTGCTATCAAAACAACTAAAACGGTTCTTTTTTTATTCAGTGAGATCATTGAAAATGATTTGTACATTTGGAAACACCGTATAAATGCCAGTCACAACTATCACTAGGGGTGGGCCAAACTGGATGAGTTGCCCCTAGACATGAGTGCCTGTTCATAAATGAGGGACAGTGTGAAAGGAACCCGGGAAGCATGTTTGGGGCTCTTAAGAAATCCATTATGTCCCAGCCTGCATGGTTCAGTGGTTGAGTGTCAACCTATGAACCAGGAGGTCATGGTTCAATTCCTAGTCAGGGAACATGCCTGGGTTGGAGGCTCAATCCCCAGTGTGGGACCTGCAGAAGGAGGCTGATCAATGATTCTTTCTCATCATTGATGCTTTATCTCTATCTCCCTCTCTCTTACTCTCTGAAATCAATAAAAACAATTTTTAAGTGAAATCCATTATGGCTGGAGCATGTGTTGTGAGTGGGGACAGTGTGATGAAAAGCTGGATGGGGGAGCCAATGGCAAAACGAGGACTAGAACCCAAAGTTCACTACTTTCCTATTTATTTTGTCATGAGTAAGACCAGGTCCCCACCCCCCACCCCCAATTTCCCGCCCTTCAAACTTTTGACTCTTTAGAACTAATGCTTGGTGGCACCTGGTTGGTTAGGCGCCTCACAAACAGCCGCAGCGGTTCTCAACCTGTGGGTCGTGACTCCTTTGGCAGTCAAATGACCCTTTCACAGGGGTTGCCTAAGACCATCCTGCATATCAGATATTTACATTACGATTCATAACAGTGGCAACATTACAGTTATGAAGTAGCAACGAAAATCATTTTATGGTTGGATCACAACATGAGGAACTGGATTTAAAGGACCAGAAGGTTGAGAACCACTGGCCCTAGAGCCTTTGAGTTAACTGTAGGTACGGGAGAAAGCAGTCTGTTCACTGTTTCTCGCTGCCTCCGTGTCCGGGCAATTAGGAGCAAGTGCAAACATCGAAGGGCAGATTGAGCACGTCACTGGGCAGTGGCCTCTGGAACCCACAGCTGCACTTGTCTTGTCAGCACTGTGCTGTTAAGCAGGAAGGAAACACTGTCCTCTTCTTTGAGCCTGAGACACCGGACACTGTGGGTCCTCCCCTTGCAGGGCAGTAATGGGCACAGGAGCGAGGAGAACACAGTAGGTGCTCCCTAAATGCTGGTGGAATGAATGAGTGAAGGAATGACTGATGATCAGAAAACAACCAACAACTTGTTTTCATCCAGCACACCTCCCTCTATACCCCACAGAGTGCCCAAAACAAGGACAAAACTTCCCCTAACTTGGAATTAGTTGATTCTAAGTTAGGCCTCTATCCAACTTGAATGGAGTCTCTCCAACACTGGGACAGTTAGGAAAGGGCATAGTATACTAGTACAGAAACCCATTCTAGCCAGTTCTGCCCCAGAGAACGCTCATTAGCCTGACATAATGTTTTCTCGTTGTTGTCACCGTCCTCCGTTATTGGACACTCCCTCAAGCTCAACACCACAATCACTCCACATTTGGGCTTTGGTTTGTAAGCCATCTAGTATTTTGTTTCCAAGGGTGGAGGGCTGGAGTAGCAGAGGAACTAAGAAATGTAATATTCCTTAATGAGGGAGGGGGTAGGAGCTTGAACCATCTTTGGTTTACACATTCTGGTCAAAACAACATGGTCATCTATTCTGATGCCTGTTTTTCCCACTCATACCGCTTCTTCCTAACTCACAGCAAGCCTTCCCACCTTCCCTCTCCTCCACACCTTTTTCCCTCCTCCCCTCTTCTCTCCTCCCTTCCTTCCTTCACTTCTCCTCCACCCTCCACTCTTGATTTTCTGATTATTTTGTTTTTTAAGCAAGGTGCCATAAAAAGTGTGGAATTTGGATCCAGCTGTTTGCATATTAGTTCCAGCCTTGCCCCCAACTAGTTGGCTGACCCTGAGGATGCCACTGGCTCCCGGTGAGCCTCAGTTTCCCCATCAGTGAACAAAGACCCTGCCAACCTCCCATGATTTCTGGGAGGATACACATGAAAGAGCTTTGAAAAGGTGTCATGCAGATGTTTCCCTCTCCCCCTCTCTCTTTTTTGTTTAATTCCTCTACTGTAGCATTTCATTTGCTTTCGTTAATGTTCTTCTCTTCTCTCTCCTGAAAACTGACATTTTTAAAACTGTTGCTGTTAAAATGAGTACTTGCCTTTTAAACATCTTCAAGTTGCTAAGCAGCGTCTACCTCCCCCTTTTCCTTTTATGCAGCCTGGTTGCCATAGTATCATCTGAACATGGTAACAAAAAGCAAAGAGCAATCATTTTTCGCTAAATGGGGTTGGGCAGACAGATAAATACACTGCAATGTTTCCTTACAAACCATCCCAAGAAGGGGGGGGGGGGGGGAATGCTCCAGAGTACACAACTTTGTTTCTTTAATCAGCTACTACCCGAATTTCCTGCTGGCTTACAGCAGTTCTCACACCTGTAGCTCCCTGCATGTCTTACCAGCCCCAGTGCCACACTTCCACAGCGGCTTGTGAAGGGCTGCTGCTGCTACTCCCTTATTTGTAGTTATTTAGGGCTAAATGCAGACTCAGATCCTTCTCAGATAGTTGCTAAGTATAGAAAATTGAGCTGAATCAGTATTGTGACTAAAGTTACTCCTGCCGTAGCAAGTTTGGAGAAGATAATAAATAAACGTCATCAAAGTGACATCAAGGGTGCTCTTTAAAAATGGAAAAGATTCAGACAGATACAAAAATAAAGAACCTTCTTGAAATCTTACATGCGTTTAAGAAATAGAAATCCTGGACTTCTATTCTTCAACTCAAAGCTCACTTGCT